TTCTTTGATTAAGTCGAATTCGATTTTTCTTTAGCAAAAATATCGAAAGATCATTATTTATCGCATTTTCTAAATTTTTCTTGTAATTTAATCGCAAATTAATTAAAAGCAAACTTTATCCACAAATCACTAAAGTATGTAGCTATTTGATTCTTGAAGTTTTGTTTACAAAAAAACTTCTTTTTATATGTTTACATTAATTAAAAATTAATGCCTCGACATTTTTTGCAGAGAAAAAAATTGCTTTCAAAATCTTTTCGTGCTTTCTATCATTAAAAAAAAATATATAAGACATCTTGTATAACAGATGTTTTAAATAATTCCCGTGTGATATGCTGCATTTTGTTTTCTCTGTATTTCTCAACGAATGTACGCTGGCCTCTGCTTCATGCCCGTAATTAACCAAATCAAGTGAATTAAAGACGTCCGAATTCTAAGTAACGAAAAATACAATTTTTTGCCTAGTTGAGATTTGAAAGACTTGGGAGAAAGTACATCAATTATTCTGACGAAATTCCGAAGTAGAATTGAAGCCACGAACGAGACCAGTCCTCGGCGTCAAAGGACGCCTACGAGTGCACTTGGTCAAACAGAGGCGAATGAAGATTAGTATACGTGCGTTGCCCGGGGGGGTGGTTCGCGAACCGTCGCTTGCGTATTCCAGTCACACGCGAGTCCGACCCTACCCCCGCGCCATCCCCCTTTTCCGCGCGATGTATTCACAGTATGTAACCCGAACGGGACTCTATAAAATACTACCCTTCCATCGCAGCCCCTCCCCCCGGGGCGCGCAACCCTCTCTTGCCACCCTTCCGCCCCCCCTCGATTTTGTTCGGCCGAATAACTTATTGTGCGCGCTCTATTTTGATATGTCGAGGGCCGCGCTCTGAATACCGAATGCCGGTATAGATTCGTCCAAACAAAACGGAATTCGATTTTCGCCCGGCCACCGGAGAAACGATACACAGCGAGGAAAAGAGAGGGAGGGGGAAAGAGAGAAAGACAATTGGGTCTCGTTTATGACGAGATTTATGACGCGATCTCATCGCGGAATTCCTTCTGACGTCGCGCTCAGGACGTCCCATAACGCGTGAATATTTCTTCGATGGTTTCTCTCGCGAATTCGAAGCCGATTCGTGAAACATGATCTTGCCTTCTACAATGTCTCTTAGATTTGTATATAAAAAAGCTTTTTGTTCATTAATTCTTGCATTCTGTAATAAACTCAACATTTCGTTTCCAACAATTCTATAACAATTAAAAAATTTTGATTCTGAAAAATGAAGTAGACCTTAAACTTTATTATGATAAACAAAAATTTAATAATATTTTATATTTTGTAGCTTAACGATGGATATAAATAACATATGTAATGCTGACAAAAATGTGAAGCGTTAATTCTTTGACTTTCGATTTTTATTATATTTTACACATTATAAGAATTTCATACTATTGTTATCTTAATTGAAACTGTTAGTTAAATGTTTATCGATTTTGGGTTCTTTATTTACTTTCTCTTCTCTCAAAAAATTATAACTCTAATACATTAGCGGCATTAAGTGTCAGGATGCGGACGACGCATCAGTCTGAATGCAGGCTGCAGGCGCGTAGAAGGACAACAAAAGTCCACGGCGCGTTGCGATTAACTGAAACAACCGGCTCGACAATGGAGTAATCAGCGAGCTTTTCGACGCCACCGTCGCCTCCTCTCGAGCTACCCCCCGCTGACCCCATCCCTCCCGGCTTCTGCCAACCCCTTCCTCGCCGGGCCGCGTTTGTTGTCGCTTCAGCAATCACTACGATCATGCATGTCCCGCTCTGTCATACGCGTCGTTTTTACGCCCTGTAATCGAGTGAGATTCATGTCATTAAATAATGACGATTTTTTTCCCTCGTGAAAGTAAAGAATTAACATTTTCAGTGTTTGAATTATCATGGATAAAAATATTTAATCTAAAACATCTATTATTTTATCATATTTTAAATGTAGCGAAATAATTAGGCATTATTTTCCGAAAAATGTAGCTGATTATTGTCAATGATAATAATTTACTTCAATATTTCTCAAAAGATTCATATTAAAAACACATTTAATATTTCATATTAAAGATTTATATTGAGAACACATTTAAAGAAAGAAGATTACAATGCAAATAACATAGCGCATGTTAGACGAAAATATCCAATTAAAACGGAGAAGAGAGAGAGAGAAAGAGAGAATCTTAAGAAGTTGGTCAGGGATCGTCGAGAAACCGAATTGTTTCATTGATGAGCGAGCATTCAGAATCGAAACAGACGGGAAACAAGGGTGCAGAAACGGTGTGGAGAGAGGAGCGGGTACATTAGATGTTACGGCGTTTACGCTCGCAACCCTCTTTCGGACCGTGCCAGTCGATGAATGGTATAATCAGCGGTCGCGTGGCACCCCCGTACTCAACGAGGGAGGGAAAGGAGGTTGCGAAGGAGAGTAAGACGAAATGAAGCCTCCTCACCCCACTGTTCCCCCTATCCGTCCGTGATGCTGCGAATCGCGAAAAGTCACTTAGTCCACCCTGTCGTGTTTTATGCTTTAGAAATGTCCTCTTTCCCATCCTTCCGCATCGCGAAAGAGTCTTCATACAGGCTAATTCAATCTGCAGCAACAAAGTTAATGAAAAAGCGTAAATAATTCTACAAATCGCAGGAGCTTAACGATCAAATAAAAATTGTAATGATTTATATTTATGAAAAAATCATAAATTGTCTTGCGTTCTCTTTCTTGCTTTTTGCAAATCTCGTTTTTAAGCGAGATAATCCAATATATAGAATAAAGCTAACAAAACACACAAATAGTGTAAACAATTTTATAACAAATTACAGAAATTTTGAAGTTAATTAGCAAAAAATTTAGAAAATTACGTTGTTAGTTGCCTGTGACTTTATCTTCTCATATTCTCAATTGCGTCAAATTTAATAATGAAGAGATGAAAGAGATTTTTCAGAACGTATGAAAAATTGATTAAATGATGAGAGCATTTTAAAGAGCGATCCCCCTAATTGTTTCACGGCGGCCGATTTGCCGTTGAATTGCCTGAAAAAAGACACCCCTCGGCTCTTGTCGGTCGACGTGCGATAAAAGGCGCCCGTTCACGCCCCGTGAATGACAGAATATATGACGAAGAGACCGAGGGCCGATAAAGGACCCCCGGTACGACACGCCGATCGCTGTATCTCGCTCATTGACGGACGCCGTCGGTGAGCGGAATTTATTGTACGGTTAATAATGGAGGCGCGTGACAGTCGATCGCGCCCGCTTATCTATACTCCGGAGTAGATGATCCTTCATTATACCTCCTCCCCGAGGTACAGCAGCAACGGTATTTGTTCCTTGTCACCGCGGATCGACCGCAAATTGAGGCGTGATCTGACAAGTCGATCCAAAAATTTCAAATTTCAATGAAACGTCCTGAAATTTCCGTAGAAACATTCATAACTTTTTCTATTATTTTCTCTCAATCATTAGAGCAAAACTTTTGCTCATTTAAAATTATTTTTGATTACAAAATTTGCTTACCTAAAATTATTTCGCGGAAAACTGTGCACATTGCGCATTTTTTTCAATTTAATTCTTTTTTATATATTTAATTTTTTTTTATTTTTTGTTTTAGCGCTTTTTGTGTGATACATTTTATTTGTTATCCAGTGAAGCTACGTTTCGTGCGTGTTGAAAATTGATTCGTTTCTTTCATTCTTCCGCGGAGCATTCCGACTCGATCTCCTTCCGCGGCGTGACACAGATTCGCTCTTCTGCGGCAGATGAATATTTCTACGCCTTCCGGAAATTCAATGGCGACGGTGCAGTTCCCTCTTTATGGCGACCGGGAGATGTTGTCGCCCCGTACACCACGCCAGTCCCCCTTGTCTCGTTTTATACCTTCTCTCTTTATCGCCTTATCACGAGAGACGTCTTCCAGCTCTCCCTCCATTTTTCTCTCTTTTTCTCTCTCTCTCTCTGTTGAGCTGTGCAACAAGACACTGCTACGACTGATAACATTTATTACAAGACCTGGTCTTCTATACTCGCCTACTACGCTTGTGTATCTTTGCGGCGGACAAAGCGAGAAAAGAAATTCCCTCGCTTGATGACGAAGTGGCGGCTGATCGGCGAACGCATCAGCGCGACGTCATTTCGCGCCTTTGTCCAATTCTTTATTTCTTGACCTTCGTATATTTCTCGGTTTTATTATCGCCGGCGTAAAAAGTTTCAGATATTATATTGGGAGAGAGAGAGAGAGAGAAATATTTCTATATAAAACATTATTACATCTGTTATATTTTAGTGTTATTTTCGCTTTTGTTTGATGAAATATTGCATATATAATGCAATTGCATCTTTTTATAATTACTTCATAATATATGATAATTGTCGACAGATCAGTCTTCTTTTCCAAAGAAAAACAAATACTGAGTTGGATAATAATTTAACCATTAGATTGATATTTGACAAAATCTGAAAAAAATAATTTAACATTTCTCAAAAAGGATATTTATTAAGCGTGAAAAAAAATCTCAATATCAGTAACATGCGAGAAAGTCGATCGGGCATCTCCAAAGCACCACGATTACACACTCCGGATATTTCGCCGTCTCCCCCGCTCCCGTCCGCAATTGTCTTCGGAGGTATCAATGGACCGGACGCATCGGGCTGACCGCCGACGGAAGGCGGATAGGTCAGAAAGGCGACTGCGGCAACGACGGCGGTGATAATCCGCGCGACAAACGCACCCACACTTGGCGGCCGTCGTCGCTTCGCGCGCTCGACCGGGAGAGGAACAGAAAGAGGGTGAGAAAGTGAGAAAGATAGAGAGAAGGAAAGAAAGCGGAGAGGAGATAGGAGCCTCTCTCCACCTGTTGCACGACCCCGCGTATCCGTTCTGGACCGCCATATCGACGCGGCGGCCAATCGCGGCCGCACCGAAATAGTGGGAGCCTCGGTGCCGCGTCCGATTGGTTTGATGCCGCGTTCTTCCCCACGTCCCACGGGAGCCGAGCAGACCGGCAGAAGCCCCGTCCCGCGGGTTCTTGCCCCAGACGCTCCGTACTCCGCGAAGTTCCTGAGGGATCCATCGCAGTCCTGTCAGTGCACCAAAAGGACTCGCGCCCGGCAGACCAAGCCCTCGCCCGAACACGCCTCTGAATTCTCCCGAAGAAGCCGCCGAAGAATAACGTCACTGTGAAAAATTGAAAAGATCCTTTGAAAAAGGCGCAAGATGTTTGTTGACTCATCGTGAAATTCTTCGAGGATCGCATCAGGAGCCCGCGGTCCTTCGTGCAAAAGAATTCAGTGATCAATAGACGATGGCATGATTATTTTCAAGACAAATCTGACGATTGAAAGACTCAAAATTTCTGTCCGGAACAGTTGATGATTGTTTTAAGACGTTCGTCAGATTTTTGAGAGCACCTTGAGCGTTCTGAAAATGCACGATTGTTTTGGGAAACGCTCGCCACCTGGTCCGTCGTTCGGGAAGACTTTAAGGACGTTTCCGTCGCTCGCGAACGTGACGCAAAGACCTATTTGTTGATTGAAACATTTAGTCTGTCTTCGCAGGATATTATTGAACGTCGAAATAAACGAAATCATCTGGAAAAGAGCAACTTCAATTATCGTAAAGGATTTTCAACTGCGTTTCGTCAATTTCGTGCAGTGAATGTGAATCAATTTGGAAAGTTGAGAAGAAAGGATCTAATTGATGGAAAATCAACTAGAATCGTCGATTAACACGATAAAAATACTCAACAATTTGCCGAAGAAACTTTCGAAAGGTGCTATTAAAGGGAACAATTGAGATCAACAGGATTTTGTAAGTCTCTCAGGACTAAGGATAAAACATATCTGAAGTACTATCGTTGCTAAAAATATTTTTAAGGTCGCTGAGAAAGATCGAAGTCAACAATATGCAATCTACGGAAATTTATTTTATACACATAAAATAGAAACGAGCCGTCAATCAATTTGTCAATCAGAAATGTCGTGTACTCGCGAGGGAAACAATTGAATCGAGCAGAGCGAGACCGGAAGAGAGCGACTCATGGAGATGTCTTCCAAGAGCCTGCATAACGAGCACATTAAGCGGCCGATGAACGCCTTCATGGTGTGGTCGCGTGGTCAGCGTCGTAAAATGGCACAGGAGAACCCGAAGATGCACAATTCGGAGATCTCGAAGCGACTTGGCGCTGAGTGGAAGCTGCTGAGCGAGAGTGAGAAGCGCCCTTTCATCGACGAGGCAAAAAGATTGAGGTGAGAAATATGTCAAAATATTGAATGAAACACACAGTGTTCCGTCAACAAAAAGAGATTATTCTTTATCAAATTACCAAATCTTTATATTGCGTACGTAACTTTTCAGAAATCTATTTCTGTGTAATGCACGTATTTTTCTTACATATTTTTGAAAAAGATCAACTGATTTTTCTATCGACTCGAATATACTGATTCACATATTTCTTTGAAACTTATCGCATTTTAATCTTTGGTTTATTTTTTTCAAAATAAACAATTTCAATTTAGAAGGAATTTTTTTAAGGAAGAAGTGTGTGTTTTTAAACAATATATATACTTAAAAAACGAGAAATAATTATGGAACATTACATAGATAAGATAAAGCACTTTCAAAAACACTATTTAAGCTTATTCTGGACAATATATAATATTATCTTCTCTAAATATTATTTTACTTCATTCCTGCGTGTTTCAAAATATCTATTTAGTTTTTTCACACTATAGTCAAACTATAATTTTTATCTTCTCAAACAGAATATTTATTCTTTTAGAAGATAAAAATTATAGTTTATTTATTCAGATTAGACACTTGATTTCTGTTATTTACCAATATATTTATTCTCAACGTATTTGATTTCTTTTTATGTATTTAGACATAAATATAAGAATACAATTTTCTGACATCTAAAATGCGCAAATAATATAATAACATAAAACTAACAAAGAATAAACATTTGCTCATACATCTGCCATGTCGTAAAATTTTATTAGCTTTGATCAAAAAATAGTTTTGTTTAGGACTTCTAGGATTTATCATTCATATCATTTCTAGGATTATCAAATCATGACAAATAAAGATATCTGTGTAGCCAAACAATACTATATAGTATTTAAAACTTCTCTAAAAATATCCACAACGATAAAATATACTAGCTAAATCCACCGCGTTTAATTAAAATTAAATTGCAATAAAATAACAATTATCTCTTATTTACACGTAAGAAAAAGATGGAATAAAACTGTTATATATTAGTTTATAAAATGATAAACAAACAGAAATAAATAAAATAATAAACGCTGTACTTTCGCTCTAGCTTGTTCTGTTAAATAGAATTTTATTACAATATGGCCATCGAGTTTTCTTTCAAATACACGATCTGTTAATATTTCTGTTATGAAAGAAAGTCGGCGGTACTAATCGCTCTTTAGTCGCGAATATCCAGCGAAATGATTGCGCTGATCGGTGGGGTCCGTATCAGCGGAGCTCGTATAGGGATCGAAAACGGCGGGAAAGCGTGTCACGCGATCGTCTCGTACTTCATAATACAGTACATTGTTGTCGAGAAGCTTAGGGGCGTGCTGCGTTAAGCCCGGACTGAAATAGGGTGAGACGGGACCGGTATTTATAGGGCGAGGAGAAAGGGGGGGGGAGGAGGAGAAACGTGCTCTTTATTACCGACCCTGAATATTTAATCACTGTTATGAGTTTATTTAGCTCGCCAAGGCGACCGCGCTGATTTTTCAAGCTCCGCGCGCGCCCTTAAAAGGGCCCACCCCGAAAGGGGTCCCGCAATCTCTCGCGAAAGAGCCTTCCTCTCGAGTCCTTCCTCGTAAACGTCTTGTAATTTTGTAAGCCTTATTTAAGTAAAACATTTTGCAATCTCGCAAACGCAATCTCGTCAGGAGGCGCGTATTAATTTCACGATAATGATGAGGGCATGTAATGATCGTTTTACTGAAATCTTAAAAATTATTTTAATATTGCAAGAAATATTGTTTCGACTATAACTAAATGAATTTTAAGGCAAAATATTATTCGATGTTTAATAACGATTATCTTTGTTATATTGAAATAAAGTGATTTTAATTAATCAGTTACAACACATTTTCAATGAATATAATACTATTTATATTTCATAAAGTTTTTTATAAGAATTAAATTGAACGAATTATTATTTATTAAGTCGTGAATTTGTTTCACTAATTAAATATTAATTATCAATATTATTCTTACGTAAAAATACGTCGTTTTATGTATTCGGCTGCTTCATCTCACTCTCTTGATTTGATATATATTTTGTTTTAAATGCGCTTGCTAGGTGCCTTTTTGTTTTTAAGAAAAATAATGGCGATCGATTTGAATAACGGATCAATATCTGAAATAAAAATCGTAGTTAAAGGACGAGATGGGGAATAGATTTGTGCGCAAGGTGCGTGCAGATTAAATTTGAGAACGATCCCTCGTCCTCTCTCTCTCTTTCGCTTTTCGATCTCGTCCCGGGGAACAAGATTTAAACTGATTCCGCGCTCTCTAACCCCGTGCCCGCGTTGCAAAATATCCCGACCTCGATTTACATTCCATCCCGTCGGGGAAAAAGGGAGGAAATAGAAGAAAGCGAGGCAGCCGGGGCGAGAATGTTTCGCGATGCCGCTGATATTTTCGGCGAAACCGCGACTACGTCTACATCGTCTTAGCTCATTCGTAAGTAAATCGCGGAAGATGTAATCTTTTGGATCGGCGCAATCGCATCGATGAACGATCGTTATCAATCATTATTGTCACGATCTAGCTTTGGAAAAATATCAGATTTATTTGCTTCGATTACCAGACATTTTATACGTTTACTTTAATTTTTTCTTCGCAAAAATTTCTGCTAATTCTTTGCAACTTTTTCATATTTACTATGTATTATATATCGTCTTTTGTATTATTTTGCAATCTCAGCATTAGATATCGGGGGGCTATTAAACTTTCCATCCGTTTTCTCTCACTTTACTTTACTCGCAAGAGCGTTAACAAAAGCGCAAACAAAAAGCCGTATTTTTCCATCGAAAATTTCCAGAAAATAAAGAAAATGAGGAAGGCCGCGGGAGGGGCGGGGGTGGGCGAGAATGCGAAGGGATAAGGGGGGGAGGGTGTGTATGGGCAATTCGAGGGAAATTTCGACGCGGACGTGTAACGGCGAATCCGCTTTTCTGGCGGATGGCAGCGACGTCGACGACGCGGAGGGTGGCGGCCGTAAAATAAAAGGGGGGAAACGGAAGTGCGGCCGTGGGGTGGAGGACGCAGGGGGGGAGGGGGATAAAGTCGTTCCCTTGGAGCGGCGTCGTCGGGTAGGAGCGGGTTCCCTTGGACCCGCGCGCCGTCACTGGCCCGACGTAATCTGTCCGTTCGTTCACGGCGACTCACAATGTGGCCCCCGAGATAACAAATAAAGCCCCATTGTCGCAATTGTGTGGATTTAAAAGGATTTGCCCGGCTTCTCCACACCCCCGCCGCCGCCGTCGCCGCCACCACCGTCCGCGCTCAACGATTCCTCTTTCTCTCTCTCTCTCTCTCTCTCTCTTTCTCTCGCGCCTATCTTCCGTCCTCGTCTCTCGCCTCCCTCCTGTCCCCCCTCTACATACCGTTCCAACCCCCCGGCGTATTCCGCAGCCTCTTCCCGATTTCTCGCCCCTCCCGTCGCGGTAAAACGCGGCTTTTTACCCTCTCTCATGTTGCATATGAACATTCCTTTGATATCGCGGCGAACGGGAAATCTGTTAATGCGAACGTTAAATAATCCCGGTTTAATCAACCGAACGGATTTTGCAATTGACTACGCGCATTATGAGGAAAGTGACATATTAGGAGCTTGCAACACATCGGATCGTTCAAAACAAATAAAGAAATTAATTAAAGGCATCGCTCGTAAACTCGACATCAATAAACGATTCTGAACACGGCATGTACTGTTTCGTTATTATTCATAAAAGAATATAACTAAAAATTAAACACAGACAGGTGCAAGCGATCAAAAGTAAACTTATTCGTTTTTTAAATAGAAAGAGGAAACTTTAGATTTAAGAATACAGTTGAACATAACAAGATAATTAATCGTTCTAGAAAAAGGCTTTCCCGACAAAAACAATATGTAAAGAGTGAGAAAAAGGGAAATATATCATTGAAACTCTTCCGAAATAAACTTTCGCAATGAAACGCAATTAAGTGTCGGGGCTCGTCTCCGCGCGGAATAACGCGGCCGCGCTTCCGGTTGCGCGGGCGTCACGGCCCACAATCGTAACTAATTGTTATTGTTCCTTGTCACGACGCGCGCGGCGAGAGAGAGCGCGTACAGCTTATGTCACCATCGAGGGGTGATATAGCGCGTTGTTTATCGGCCGCTAGGTAGGCGACATCGGACGGAGCGGAGCCGGCGGGACAAGCGCGGGCGGCCGGGGAGGTTGAAATTGTAAAGATTACGGCCGATGTTTATGCATTTATGCTGAGTTATTGTCGGCAGGGCTTTACCGATGTTTATGCTGATTTACGCTTTGTGCTATCTGCCGGGACACATTGTCCCGGGAATTATTATTCCGTGATCGCGGCGGCGCTCCGCCGTCCACGCCTTCCCCGCCTTCCCTCTTCTGCTCCCGCTTTCCGCAGCGTAGCCCCTTGAAATTTCGAATTTCGTGCGCGTCTCGGAAAAGTCTTCATCCGCGTTTTCCCTGCATACAATTAAAAATTCAAAAAATTAGATTATAGATTTAGAAAAATTTTAATATCTCTTCGCTGAGATTAAATTGGAAAATTACATTATCAATGTGTAGATTTTAAAAGAATTCTCTTGTAATTGTTCCATTATTTTATCGTTGCGGTAAAATGACCGAAAACTTAGCGCGTAGAAGACTGTACATTATCAAATAGGAAAAAAGTTGATTTTTGGATAATATTTCGAGATTTTATTTATTTAAAATCAATAAAAATAATACTAATAGTGAAACAAATTCGAATATTGCGAAATATTTCATGACGGCGCGGAATAAGCGTGTTACGTTATCATTCTTCGCGCTTCTGACTGGCATTGTCCTGGTGGTTTCCGGCGAAATTCTTCGCGACACACTCGTCGTTAGGAAAAAAACGCGATACCTACATATCTCCCCGCAGTTTTCTCTTTTTCTCCCTCTCTTTCTCTCTCTCTTTCTCTCATCTCTCTTTTTTTTTTATCTACACGAGGTGAGGCATAAATAAGCACTGCGTTTGTGCGCCTCTTGGGTACATAATGGAGTATTATGTGTCGGAGATACCGCCTTTTCCCTCCCTCCGACGTTGCGTCGCGCAAACGGGGAGGTGTGTGTACAAGATACTTACCGCAAATATCTATGCTGCCCCGTATCAGAAACCCGGGAAGGCGATAATACATTCCATTGTATGTAGGGACGGCGAGAGCACAGTTTACAAAAATTGTGGAGAGCCGTTTACTTGTGCGATAATCGATACGTTGCGGTGCAACGTAAACATGATAAAAGGAGAGGCGTAGGATAGACCAGCTTCATATTCAACGTACGGAAATGCGCGGAGTGTCCCGAAAGAAACGCACGATAAAACTCAATTTTTGTGATACTTGTAGTTCGCGTGTAATTAATATTATAAATTTTGTTTATATACCCTTAATGTTAATTTTGCTAAATCTTTATTTTGAATCGCTTATATTTTTAATTGAATTACATTTAGGATATAAAACAATTTTCAGACTAAAAGAATTGGAGTAGAAACAGCGTTTTAAGAATGAAATAATGGCAAATATATAATTAAACAAAAACTTAATTAAATGATATAGTATAAAAATATATGCAATTTTCGACTGACATTTTTAGGCTGTTCTTAAAACGTGCAAAACTCATTAAATTAGTAATGATACAGTTCTCACTTAAAATTTAACGACTCTTGCCGTCACGCAATGGTTGCGGGATTATGTTATAAACCCATGCAGGCTAAACTACCGCGTTCCCAGTTGTGAAACTATTCAATTAAGCCGCCCCCCGAAATGCGCGTGGAACCCTTCACGGTCTTCCCCTTTACTGACGTATAACGACGGATTCAACGGCGTATTTGCAATAACGACGAACATCAACGAATTCGCATCGAGTGATAAAAATGGGCAGAACAAAGTTAAAAAGACAAATTTTTAATCATTGCTGAAGAAAAAACACTTTCTTCTTCATTAACACAGAAAAGATTTCTTGATTTTTGTTTCACGAATAATTCTCGCTTATGATAAATTATGTATCTTTAAATACAAAATATAATATCTTCATAAAAATATTGTTATATCAATTAATAATCATCTAACTATGATCATAAATAAAAAAATGAAGGAATTATTTAAAGAATTAAAAAAAATCTGTTTCTCGACTTTCTCTCATATTAATTAATATTAGAATAATAATAAATCGCCATAAATTATCATAGTAATGATTATTACCAAAAGAAGAAAGATATTACACTATACACTACTTTCACTATCAACAACATAACAACAATGACACTAACAATACCATAGCATCGCACACAAGAAATTCTTATTTAAATTATGTCACGGGAGACTGTTACAAGGCAACAATCCACCTTTCAGAGCTCTTCACATGAAAGAGCATCCGGACTACAAGTACCGGCCGCGTCGGAAGCCGAAGTCCCTGGTGAAGAAGGAGAACAAATTCGGCTTCTCGATATCGCCGCTGCTATCGGCCGGCGACAGCCTGGCCAATCTGCCACGCGGTCTTCTGCCGCCGCTTGCACCGCCCACGCATCACCCGCTGCTACAGCACGAGGACCTAAAGATCCCGCGTTTCTTCCCGCCGTTTCCGTACCCGCTCTACCCGCTCCAGCACAAGCTGGGCGACGACTTCAACGGCGGCAAGCTTGCGGCCGATCTGGCCCTGCAGGCTCTTTACGGCAGCGGCACTTTCTATCCGAGCCACCAGACGATGGCCTGGCCGACGGGTCTGTCGACGGCCACGGCTTGCCTGCAGCCTAATTGCAGCTGTCCAAGCCCGCCTAAGGAACCCAAAAGACCCTTTCCACCGTCCAAAATGGACGATCCGCCGTTCCCGAGCCCGGCTCGCGCCGACGACGACGCCGTCGTCGCGGAACGCGAGGAGTCTCGTTACCGGAAACTCGACGAGGACGGCTTTCCCGCTAGTCTGGAGAGGCATCATCATCATCATCATCATCATCAGGAAGATCGCTCCCAGGATCGCTTCTCTTCGTCCTCGTCCTCGTCGCCGCCCACGGAGCAACCCGCGGAGAAACTGTCAGCGACGACAACGACGACATCCGCGTCATCCGCGAGTGGCCGCGTCGACAGCGCCTTTTCCGTTCAAAGTTTGACGAGTAACTCGAGCTCGAGCGGCTCGAACTCGGGCTCGCAGCGCGGGCACGTTATATGAAGGCCGCTTCCGGTTCTCCCGGACCTGAACTTCCGGGGGAGCCTGGTGCCGGCCGCGTGGCCGGCCGCCGATTGGTGGCGGGTCGCCCCGATGCTCTCGCCGATCCCGCAGACGACGGTCGCCGGCCTCAGTGCCAGCGTCGTCAAGGAGGACGTCGTCCACTTTCAGGACGAGCAGCAGCGAAGCGCGACCGCGGTGTCCAGATCACCGAGGAGCGGCGTACACATCGCCAACGTGCAGTGATTCGATCGAAACGATCGTAATTCTACTTCCGGATGATCGCTCGGGTGTCTTGCGATCGCAAGAACGGGCCACAGTGTCGCGCAGCTCGAAAGGACAGGACAGCCGTTTTTGTAGCCATCCTTGAACTGATAAAAAATCGCGCGTATAATTGAAGCGCTCGCCCACGCGAGAGCGCTTAGGTTCGAGAAAAAGGCCGCAATCGGGAAATAACTTGGCGACCGGCGAACGAAAACGGGAGATCGATAACTCGGCCCCGAAATCCCACAAAGGGCGGCGCAAAGGGTCCTCTCGACCGGATCGTGCACGCGAAGCTGGATGCTAGAGGAGTCCAATTTTGATGAGATAACCAAACCCTCTCTCGCATGCCACATATTACGGGCGGGCGCCGGGGGTGGACACGCGGGGGGAAGGGGGGGAAAAATTCTCTTCTGGCAGAGGCAAATCTCTTCTTTGGGACGCGGCCGTGCGAAATAAGCCAAACGTTCTGAATGCTAACGTAGAGAGACGCGTATCCTCCCGCGTCGACGGCGCGGTTTCGTTGTATCTCGCGCGCGCGGCGCCGCGCCGGCTTTCGCGAACGAGAGAGCGGCGGGCGAAGGCATCGATACGACGGGCGAATTGGAAGACGCGTGGCTGACTGAGTGGCTGCAAGCAGCCGGAAACTACTCCCTTTTTTTTCTAATATTGCGGGAAAAAGACATTTCCGAAGGTTGCCGAATGCATTTCGCTCTATTTCGCTTTCGAGTTGATCAGAATTCCGAATAACGAACGAGATTGAGTTTCATTTCTCCTTCGCAAAATGTTCCTTGCAAAATGTTGAGACTCATTTGTTTCATTGTGTATTTCGACACTTTATTTATTGAAATTAACATAAGATTAACGCATCACAATCTGTTTATACGCGGTCTCGTTTTGTTGCGATTATTGTTGACTGTTGAGGGCGAATGTTATCGCTCGTTCGTCGAGAAAAAGATCCGCTGACTTCTCTTTCTTGTAGAAATTTTTGCAAAGTATCTCTAACGACCGTAGCGAACACTGATGCGAGTTCCTTAGCGTATACCCTAACGGGAGTAAGATACGAGTAAACGTAAAACATATCTAACGCATAGAAACATATCCTCTCTCTTTCTCTCTCCCTCTCTCTCTCTCTCTCTCTCTCTCTCTTTCTCTCCCTCTCTCACTTTCTTTCTCTCCCCAGTACTTCGCGGACATAGCGACGGTTAATTCGAGCAATTCGAAATCAGGATAACGCGTATGCGTTGATCCTCGCCTCGACGATTGCGACACTATTGTTAATTACTGCTGTAATATAATGCAACGTTTGTAAATAAATCTCAATCCGAATTAAGAAAATACATATATCGTCCTCTCGCCTTTCCTCACATTTTTTCCAAGAGAATATAATTATTTAGTAGCTTAGCAGATTATTGCTCGACGTAACATTTTATTCCAGCAGACGTCGAATTGCGACACAAAATGAAACTATAAAATATAAAACGTTATGAAATCTGAAAATATATTTTGATGTACTGCAATAAGATCCCATGCTTTCCTTACTTCTTAGAATCAAAGACTTTTCAATTCATTGTCGAGCTGGAACAAAATGCTAAATTCATTACCGAATGCAAAGTGTGTAGATTATTTAGTCCCGGCTTATTGCGGGATTAATATCGTGTGCGAGTGAATGCGAGCGTGCGCTCTGCGCTACCCTCGAAGTTCTTAGGAAAGTCGAGAAATTAATCGGAGGGGGTGCGACGACGAGGAGAATCTCGAGGGCAAGGTGAAGTTTCCTCTTCGCTCTCCCTCTGCCCCGCCGCCGACCGAGTCCCCGACTCGTCGTGTTTTATTTCTGATAGCGACGCCTCCGTCGCAGCCCGGGGACATTATCGCCACCGCGAAGGACCCTTTCTTCCCCCATAAAGGCAATCATGCTTTCTCCGCGGTGAGATAACGGCGAGAATGGCGGCTGGGAGACGTTTCCACCGTGCCGGCACGTTCTCTTCCCGCCCCCTTAACAATCAGTGAAATTTTACCGCGCTTGCGATCGATTTCGTGAAATTCGAAACGGTTTGAGTCAAAAAATCAACAGATCCGTAAATTCTTAAAGTAATACAGGATAAAAGATCCACTGTAGTTTAGCTTCAAAAATATACATTTAATCTGAAATTGATAGAAAAAAAACAGAGAAAAATATCTTTTTTTTCTATCGAAAGAGTTGAAATATTTCATCAGAATCAAGAAAAATATATTCAGATAATAAAATAACCATTGTATCAGTTTAGCTTCAAAGATCGTATCCCTAATTTGAAATAGATAGGAAAAAGAGAAAAGAGAATCTTTAGTTCTTATTAAAGGCATTAAAATATTTTAGAGTCCAAAAATAGATCCATAAATTTTTAAAGTAATAAAATAAGACAACGAGCGTGACCCTAATTTGACAGGAAAAAAAGAGAGAAGGGAGCGTCTTAATTTTTTATTAGGAAAGTTAAAATACTATAAAGTATTCTCTTGGATATTTTCGTGAAATATTCGGAATCCTTTGATTTCCGTCTAAAATCACGAAGTGTCAATCGTGAGCGGCGAGTTTCCACGTGTTCTCTCGCGAATAACTTTTGTTAGGTTGCTCGAAGACGACGATGACGACAATGGCAAAAGGGGGTGGGGGCTGGTAAGTTTTACGGGTTGGCGCACAAAGGCGTGGAAAGAGGACGAGGGGGAGTAGCGACTACCCTCTGACCAGAGAAGTCTACGTGCGTCTCTCCATTAGTATGCGCGGAAGTGTGCCGCGCTCGATTGTGGCGGGTATTGTCACCGAAGAATGTCCTCGTTGCGCGCAGCTCCGCAGCTACGGACGGTATCCCCCGCCGCCGTAAAGGAGACGAAGGCGGATTCGAGTGAAATGTAATCACTCTGCGAGAGCGCTGAGAGAAATGCTAACCATAGTTCATTCGGCGCGAAGAAAAGGCCGACGTAAGATGTAACTAACAACGCCGCGTGTCGATAGACAAGCGCAAGTCTTTTAAGTGGCTCAGATGCAACATTGTCTTGCTTCTGGAATCCACGAAATCCTGATTTCTATGTTATCATTACACCATAATTGAATTTTATATATATACCAATTTCTATTCAATTTTAGCTTTATTACATCTTTATATTAATTTTACATCAATTTTTATTGTGCGTTTCTGAGAAGTGTTTTAAACTTAATATTGCTTTATAGTATGATATTAATTTTTACCAAATTTTATTTATACGCCAATTTTGTTATCGTGCATTTTCATTCAATTTTAATAAAAATTGGTGCAAAATCTCAAAGTAATACGCCATTCGTGAGAAATATAGTTTATTTAGAAAAATTAGCCTGAAACACAATTCTCTTCGCTATCAGAGCCGGCAACCTACTTCAGATTTAAATGATGATCTCTATAATGATATTCAATCGCAATATCCCCGCTATCTCTATTTAAGATTTCCGCGAAGCCCAGAACAGTGCAAAATCTGATTCACCATTTACCGAAATTAGCCAAAAACACAGAATCTCTTTGGGATTCCCGCGTTGGTGCGGGGGAAAACGGACGTTTTAATTGCATCGCGCGCGCGCGCGCTCGCTGGTATCAGCCGCGCTTTTATGCGCGACGAAGAGAGGAGGCGCGATCGTTTGATTGCGGAAAATGACGGGCGGCGGTGGGTGCGAGTGGAAGTTTTGAGTGGGCGTCGGTCCCGCCAGACAATGAGGCATTCAGGCGCGGCATTGTGCCGGCCGACAACTGCGTTACCCTAGACAAACCCGAAATCACCGACGCTATCGCCGCTCCAGATCCGATTATGCGAATAATAAAAAACGTGATGACAGAGAGAGAAAGAGAGATAGAGAAATCGGGGGAGAAGAGGAGGAATGAGAGATAGGGGTGGACGCGCTAAAGGTTAATAATAGCGATGCCGCGTGGCTGATGTCTCCTTTATCGTCTTACGACAAACATTGGCTGTATCATACTTCCATCACAGTCGTGGAGATATATAAAAGCATTTTTCCAACCTAGTTTACAGTTGGTATCCTTTTTGACGAAGAAGCTCAAGGATAAAGATGTTGAAAATCAAAAATTTCTATCAATCGCGATTTTTTAATTTTTTAAATCAAATTCTCAGCAATCGCGCGCGATGTTAAGCGGAAGCTTCGACGTTCGGTGTCTTCAGATTAATAGGCGCTCCACACACGCGGCTCGCGCTATCGTCCCGCCACGGGAACCGTGAGCGACGCGTAATTATGCATTAGGAAGGGGATCGTCAAGTCCGCGCGAAGTTGGCGAACTTGGTTAATTAGGAACGGTAGTCAGACGCTGCCTGCCATTGTCCGGCGCTGTTGACTTCCGGCCTTCACGCCCGTCTGTCTCACCTCCTCGCCGGGCACCCCGCACTTCGCATCCTCTCCTCTGGCGGAGAGGGGCCGAGGGCTGATTGTTTCATTGTTTCCGACCCCACTGTCAAATGCCACCGGCATGAATGGGGTTATTGTTGTTTCAGGCCGCGCCGCAGACAATTCTCGGGGTTTTCAGGGCGCGCCGAGGCCGAGGCGCGACTTTCACCGCCGCCCTTCTGCGCGCGATATTTTCATTAGGAACGATACATATAGCTATTATTTCTCAGTTTTCTGAGAGCGGAACTGAATGACAGCTTTATCGAGGACCGTCCGTAATATTTGGAAGCGATGCGACTTTCGATATTAATTTCTATCATTTTTTCAGAATATAATGACAATTAAGTAATAGCGAGTTTAATTGCTCATAATCTTAAGCAAAACGATTACACATTTGGGAAGGAAATTAAATTCATTTGAAATGGAAGAAGCAAGATTCTTTGAGATTAAAAGTGTCGAGTATAAGTGAGAGAGAGATTGTAAATTTGAAAACTTCAGAAAGGTTCGTTCTTCGATTTTCATTCAAATTTGCTGAAAAACGGCATCCGAATAGACATTCTTCCAATATTTATTGGAAGAATGTTTGACACAAAAAAAAATGTAATCGAGATAACGTAATAAAGATTTAAAGTTGATGAATAATGGCTTGCGTCATTAAACTTGCGTCGTTACAAAATAAAATGGGGACACTTTTCGGACATCCTGTGCGTATATATAACTGAAACCAGTGCCAGTTCAGCGTTTGAAGATGCAAATATATTGCATCTTATACAAGGAGAATCTAGACGCGATCGGGCTGTACGTCTTCATGCGTCGTTCGCGTCGTTCGAGATGTCGCGTCCTCCTGCTGGTGCCGCGCTCACCCCGAAAAGAGAGCGGGGACCAGTAAAATAGTGACCGGGGCAACATTTCACGGACGGATCCGCCGTGACCGGCGCGCGATACGATCGTCGCATTTCCCGTGG